TTTCCCTACTGGTGCACAGCACTTTTTACCTCTCTGGCTTCAGATCAAATCCTTCCTGGACTGGTTTTCTTTTATATTGACACAAGTGTGATTTCAGTCTCTGGCAAAAAGATCCATATAACTGCTTGGTACTGACTTGGCTTTGCTGGTAGTTTCTAGGAGGACTGAACAGGAGGGGAGAGATGGGCCATGTTATTACCCTTACTCAGCTGAAAGTGCCTCCTCCACATGAACACTGGGGAAACTTTTGGAGCAATGTGAGGAAAGCTTACTTGATATTTTTTTTTTGTCACTCTACTACTTCTGTTAAGAGAATTTGAGTCTTCAGGCCTGCTATTGTGGTGTCTTCAAGCTGTATTCATCTCATTCACAATAATATTCGTTAATCATAGTAAATCTCTAAGCCTGACTTTTCCTTTGAGGACGTGGCCAACAATCCATTATGATTACATTGAGTCTCTTTGTAAGCACTGCTTACAACAAGAGGGCTACCCAAAAGAGCATGACAGCGGTCTGTGCTGCCTCTTTAACATGTCTGAATTAATTGTTGTTCTCTAGTACAAACAACATCCCCGACACTGCTTGCTGAGCTCTTAGCCCAAGACATTAAGCAGGGAGCTGAGCCTTCTTTCCCAAAGGGTTGCCTGCAATCAGTATGCAATAGGTATGGGTTATTTTTTATATATGGAATGCTTGCGTGATCTCTACCACTTGTTAAGATGAAGGGACTTGGACATGGATGGGATTAATTTCCCTTCGGGCAGAGCTAGCCTCCCCATGCTACCAAAAGACTTCCTTACCCAACTTCCTGAGCTAAGCACCTCCACATTATCTATTTGTGCCCTCTGGGATCATAGCTTTTATTTGTCCTGCAGCATCTAGTAACTTACAGCCAGTACAAAGCAATTTAAATTGTAGAAGGTTGTTTTGGAAGAGTCCCTTCTGGAGAGCATTTGATTTGCATCTTCTCCGATGATCTGAGTCTTCATAGTTCTAGCAATTAATATTGCTGTTCTTGCCACCAGAGACATGAAGCGTTACAGTCACGAAAATCAAGACTGTTGGCATTTGAAGGTACAGAAGAGCAAGGGAAGGCTCCAAGTCCCCTCTTTTGGCTCAGTGGTTCAGATTTCAGATGCTTGAGCGCTGAGCTGTCTGTCCTGCCAAAAGATGCAGGATATTGAAATTCTGAGTGGGCAGACGGCAGTATTCCTCTGTCAATAAACTTGCATTGGAGAATGAGTTGGATATGAGTAACCTACTTCCCAAAGCATGTTGCAAATACATTTCTGCGTAGCTGGTTTGGTGAGAGTGCACAGGCACACCTGACTTTAGACTCCTTTTAGAGAAGAGTATTGGAAAGCACCCAAGTGACATCAGAACTTAAGTCTTAGCGAAAGTCACTGGGACTTGGGTTTCTAAGTCACCGAAGCACTTTTGAAAAGCGCTACCTGTAATCCACACTGGGAGGGAACGGTGATTAGGAAAATTTTGGAGTTGGAGAAATCACAATGTTTCTCAGGCAGCCGTTTTATGTGTCTGTCATGCTGTGTGCTCTGGTAGAAGGGCCCTAGTGCACCAGCCCAACTGATTGCATTGGTAGGTGTGTTGCTAGTAGGTCAAGGGAGGTAATTAGTCCCCTCTATTCAGCACTGGTGAGGTCACATCTGGAGTCCTGTGTCCAGTTTTGGCCCCCCACTACAAAAAGGATGTGGACAAATTGGAGAGAGTCCAGCGGAGGGCGACCAAAATGGTGAGGGGGCTGGGGCACATGACTTGTGAGGAAAGACTGGGTTTATTTCTTTTAGAGAAAAGGAGACTGCGGGGAGACTTAGTAGCAGTCTTCAATTATCTGAAGGGTTGTTCCAAAGAGGATGGAGCTGGACTGTTCTCAGTGGTGGCAGATGACAGAACGAGGAGCAATGGACTCAAGTTGCAGCAAGGGAAGTTTAGGTTGGATATTGGGAAGATTTGTCTCACTAGGCGGGTAGTAAAACACTGGAACAGGTTACCCAGAGAGGTGGTGGAAGCTCCATCCTTGGATGCTTTCAAAAAACGGCTAGACAAAGCCTTGGCTGGGATGATGTAGTTGGGGCTGGTCCTGCTTTGAGCAGGGGGTTGGACTAGATGTGACCTCCTGAGCTCCCTTCCAACCCTCATTTTCTATGATTCTATGATCTGTTAAGTTGGAAGGGCCATTTATGGCAAAAGTATAAGGCAAAGATCACATATTTCCCTGTCCCTTTATGTTGGGCTTGAAACATTCATGTTCTGGTACTGTGCTTCCTTGATTCAAGCAGAAAGGCTTAGGACCAGCAGACTCCTAATAGCTCAACATACTGCAGTCTGGCAGTAAAAAGAGGAAGGGCCTGCATTGGACTGGGAGAAAGATGCATAATACAGGCCAGTTGCAAATACATGAGTCACACCATCCCAGCAGAAAGCACATTGACTCAAGATTTATAAAATCTTTCTTTATGTGAAATTGTCCCTGACATTGAATCTTGATCTCTTCATTAATGTCTGCAGCTAGCATATGTAGAAGAAGTGTCTCGACGAATTTCATGTCCCAGATAAAAGTGCTAAATCAGCTCTGAGAAATGTCATTTTAAAAAGCAGCACTTTTTCACCCCCCAGAAATTATTTTCTGCAGTGAATTTCTGGGATTGCAGGGTAGGCTGTGAATGTCTGAGTGCAGTATAAATAGCATTTTGCAGATGCGTGCAAGCTCATCAAAACAGCCAAAGCCAAATTAAGAAACAAGTTTGGGGAGGGAGGTGAAATGCCTTTAATCCTATGATTAGGAATAGGAAGTGTTTGAGCGAGACTCTTCTGTGTGCTGCTCAAAGCGCATCCTTCCAACAGTTCAAATCCTTGCCTTTTCTATAGGGTGCTTGATTTAGGTTGCCTTGACACAAACCAGTGAAGAGGTACCAAATTCAGAAAGAAGAAACTGAGCACCTGGCCAGTTCTGTTCCTGAAGGCAATGTGGTCCTTCAACATGTGGAAAAAATAATCTTACACCGAGTCAAAATTAGACATAGATCATAGCAAAGCAAACTTGAAAATAGCTTGGTTACCCTTTAGAGAATAAAAGGTCTGTGGTAAAGTGGGGCTTGTATTTTTAGAGAGAGAGTTTGTGGGGTGTTTTGGTTGTGGGTCTCAGGGTAGAGAGAGAAGTTGGACTGTCTTTCATTGTTGCTACCCATGTTCAACAGCCCCAACATCTGTATAACCCTCTTCTCAGCAGGAGCCAAACAACATTAGCCTTGAGAACCAGCTTGAATGGAGGTTTGGTCTGAGAAGCGTGTTCCAAAACTGCTCTCAGCAAGACATGGTAGGTAGGGGTGTATAGCGAGCTTCACAAAACCCAAATCCCTCTTTGCACTGTTTGAGAAATAACACTACAGGTCTTCCAACAACAAATGGGTTTAGGCATGTCTGTATAAGCCCCTGGTCCTTGGATGGAGTCTGTGAAATCCCCCTGATGTGTGTCCATACATCCTTTGCACGCATTTCGTTGGACATAATGGATGAATTTGTGTCTTCACAAATTCACATCAGCTGGATGAGGGGTGCGAGTAGTTTCCATGACTCCTTTTTCTGAAGCAAGGATTAGCTGATGCCCAGTGCGACACCTGTGCCTAACAAGTAACAGGTCAGATCTGTGCCAACTCTTTAAGGTGCTACATTCACCCTAGGGACTGTGTGTGAGGCAGCGGGCAGGGGATAGGAAGGACATTGTTGCTTGTTTTAACCCCTTCCCTTCTCCCTGACCCCCAGCTAGTGCCAGGTTCCTCTGTCTGCATGGTTTCAGATCATCTGGAAGGGCGTTCCAAGGTGAAGAGCTGAAGGCTGCTTGAGGGACTGTTGAAATGCAGGAAACTGTGCTCTTCTGTAGTATTAAATGAGCTGAGAAAAAATGCAATCACTAGCACTGATTCAAGTTTGGGGTGGGGGGAGGCCAACACTGGTGACAGCCCACCCTGAACTCATACTGTGGTCTTTCCCTCTAGCTTTACTGATGCGCTCCAACTCCAGGCTCTAGCTTTGCCAGCGATTGTACTCAGGCATGCCTTCCTTCAGCCCCCATGTCCAGCCTGCTTACCCTCCCCACCTCCCTCCAAAATTATCCATCCTCATACACTCCCCTTGTGTTCCCCCAAGCCCATCTCTTCCCTTCAAGGGACAAATACCCAACAGTTCGTTCTGTGGACCCAAATCTAGTGGCTTATCTGAACCCTGATGATAACTGCTGCCTTGCCTCATCTCCTTCATCCTCTTCCCTCTGCTATCAAAAGAGGTGTGCTTCAGCATTTCACTCGCCTAACTCCTCAGGCTTTTGTGGTTTCCTTGTTAAGGGCTTATATTCCAGATAGGAGGGACACAGCTGTGAATGCTCTTCCATCAGGAGTACCGGTGCTAACAGGTGAGCAACAAGTGAAACCTTTGGGCCCAGCACAATGCTGCCAGGTCTGCAGCTGTGGGTTGGGGATGGCATTTCTCTGTGTATGGTGTAGCTTTCAAAATGGCTCATTTTTTCCCTGCCCACCATAATGTGACATACTTGGATGTAATTCCTGCTCTGATTGACAGGAGCAAAATAATAACAATAAGGGCTTATTGGGTACCTGCAAATAGTTTCAACTATGCAGGTAACACATAGAAAAGAATTGGCTCTTGGAGTACTGGGAGGGTATCAGGCAGTGAGAACCAAACTGATTATTTCTGCTCACTTGAAGCTTTGCAGGGGAAAGGCAAGCTTGAACTACTAGTAAGGAACTAGAGTCGATCGTGATCTCTTTTTTTTTTTTTTTTTTTTTTTTTTTTAATGTACTCCTGGGCTAAGTTGTTCATAGGCCAGTCTGCTAGGTAAGGAAACAAGTCAGTTCTGTCCTACAGAAAATCCCTGTGTTTGTTAGCATATCTAGTTCATGCCAAATTCCCTTGAATTGGGTGCAGGTCCCTTTATTGAATGACCCTAGCAGTGGAGATTCCACCACTTCCCTTGGAGACTTTTTCAGTCTTGTAGGTGCCAGGGTTAGTTGCGCTTCCTGATGCCCGATTTTACCTTGCTCAGTGTCATCCCGTTACTGCTAAATGCACCTCCTCAGGCATCACAGACCAAATGGGGAGATCTGAGGACTGGCTTTTGGTTTTTTCCATGGTAATGCTCTCAAATCTATGCCACTTTCCAGGCCCTGATTCGAAAAAAAAAGAAAATCAATTTAAGTTAAAATTGCACGCGCGCGCACACAATTAAGTGATTTTTCTCAAGCAGGAGCAATCAAAATCATGTGCACCTGCTGCTGGATAATGGGAAAGGCAGCAAAAGCTCCATCCAGTACGGGTTAATCTTTATGTCATTACCAGGGGGTGTAGTAGAAAATGGGGAAACTTCTGCAGGGTTTGATACTCTGTGGATTAAAGCTGCACTTCCTGACAGAAAAACTGCCCTCATTACTCACTGTTCCCTTGATCTGACTCCTTTGGATTCTTCTCTCAAAAAAAATGTGTTTTTTTGGGGGGGCGGGGGGGTTGGGGGTTGTTTTATTTTAGCTGCATCCACTTCAAATGCTCACTTTTCTTCTCCCCCCACCCCTCCAGCCTCTTCATTTCTCTTTCTTCTTTAGGTTCGTTGCACATGTTTATTCTCACTGTCCAGAGCTCCAGTCCTTCCATTCCATCCTAGATCACATCCAGTCTGGCTTCCACCCTTAACTCTCAACTGAAACTGGTCCTGTCAAAGTCTCCAGCAACTCCTTTCCTAGACAACCTCAAAACTAGAACTCAGTTCTGGCTTCCCTTGGCCCATCAGGTACCTTTTGACACAGCTCGCCCTGCTCTTATGGACATCTTATCCTCCCTTGATCTTTGAGATTCTGTCCCCCTCCCAGGTCTCCTCGTTGTGGTCCTTCTCATCCCCAACCTCTGGAGAGGAGGTTCAGGAAGCTTTGTTTCTGGTCTTCTTCCCTACAATTTTTTCTCTAGGTTGTCTTGTCCTCAAACACATTCAGCTGTGTTCTGTATGCTGGCTTGCAGATCTGTCTCTGTTCAGACCTGTCTCCAGTCCAAACTAAAATCTGAGCTGGTTTCTCTGATATCTCCTCATGGGTGTCTTGCCATTGACTCAAGTTCAACACAGTTACAACAGAGGACCATGATAACCCATGCTGAGCCCTGCACTGATACAGCTACACTGCTTTCCTTAGCCAAAGTAGCTAGTTAAGTTAGTGACCGTTTTTGTGACCGAATTTGTGGATTCTTTCTGTGTAACAGTTTGAAGGTACTGCTTTTCCTATCCAGCTCAACTCTTGTCCCACAACACACATGCTGCAACGTCCTTTTTCTTCTAGCTTCAGTACAGTCTTGCCCAGACCATATCCATCCAGAATGCTGCCACAAGGACTGTTTTCTGAGCACTTCGTTCTGATAACATCACCCCTGTCTTTGCTTTCCTCCCCTGGCTTCCTTTTAATGCTTAACAGGAATGCATGCCTGCATTTACAAAGCCTTTGTGACCTGTCCCCAAACTATCACCTCTCTGCATTGAGAGATTGACCCCCACCTCTGGCCCAAGATACCCATTTTTGCTCAGTTGTTAAAATCTTTTGAACAAATTCATGTTTATGCTTTCTTTTATGCTGCTCCCCAAGTGTGGAGGCGTCTCCCAGAAACCTCTCCAGGCTCCACTTTGCTATTCTTCCAGTTTGTCCTCAGAACTTTGCAATTCCTTAGGCTTGTGGCATGCCAAGGTCACTTATCTTATCATACAGCCTGAAACTGTCTCTGTATCCTTGTACTTCCCTCTATATCCGTTTCCATTTGTTGTCTCTTGTCTTCGCTTGTATTGTGAGCTCTCTGAGACAGGGACTCTTTCTTTATTCTATCCTTGTCATGGACCAGAGGTCATGCTAATATAAAGAATGCCTTGCGAGAGGTGACAAGGTCGTTTGGGTAAATACAATATTTTTTATTAGACCAACTAAATAGTTGGAAAAATTGTTCTTGGCAAGCTTTCGGGCACTAACACCCTTCTTCAGTCATATAGAGAGTCTTTTGGTGTTCTCAGAAATGCTGAAGCAAGTTCAAGAAGATGACAAGTTAGCTGTGGTCCCTGCAAGAGGGGATAGTGATCCTTTTGAAGATAATACTGCTATATGGAGTCTAATTGTGTCTAGGAACTATGTGAAACAAGGTGGGTGACCAAGACGTTTCTGCCCAATCAAACAGCCATCGTAAGTGCTTCCTTGGCAGCTTAACATATGGCAAGAACAGCTAGAGGACTGAGCTAAGTCAGGGGCTGGTCCCCAGGGAAGACTGGGGTATGTAGAGCAGTAGCAGCCTTGCTCCTGTTCCTGGTGTTGGCTGTCCTGTGGTCAGGCAATATGTCATGCTCTAGGGCCGATAAAACCCATTTCGTGAGCACTAAATGACTAAACATTAAAAAAATTCCCATGGCTTTAAATGTTTAAACAAAAAGGGTAACTGTCATAATAACACACCCATTCCCTAAAGTGAACTGCTAATAGGAATGACAAGGATGAGTGACTGTGCAAACAAGAAAGAAGTGGATTTGTATTAATAGATACTCATTTTTCATACTTAGTTTACTCATTCAATGTAATGGACTAAAATATGGCTTTTGGTCAGATAGGCATACCGGGAGTGCTTTACTTGGGTTTGAGCTTGGTTTTCTCCCCTTCAAACTCAATCTTTAAAAAGCTGGGGTTGCAGCTGTCCATCTTGTGCCTTGTCTTCTGAAGGGGCGCTGAGCCTGACTAATGCATAGCGAGACAAGGAAATCCCATGCCCTGCTGGCAGTGGTGATTCTTCATCCTTAGTGGATCAATTCCCTGTGATGAGGTCAGGATCTGTGCCGTATTCCAGATCTACCACGACGCTTGCTGAGGTCCTGGCTCTTTAAGGCCTTTTATATTCACTAAATCTTATCATTCATTGCTGTGCTCATGACAAATTCTGGTTTCAGCAGTGGCATTTTGCCTACCTAAATGTCCCTTGATGCTTGTGCAGTCTTGCTGGATACTGCTGAACAGTTTGTTGCCGCCTACCCAAGAGGGGGCTGCATTTCAGTACAAGGTTAAAAACTATCCTTTGTAGTTTGGTAAGCTGTTATAACCGACGGCACCAGAAGTGAAACATAATAAAGTATTGTGTGAAATTTGGGCATAAAAAGACTGAAGCCTTTTTCAAGTGAAACTGTTAGGCCCATTTAAGAGCAGCTTATGATTTTGAACAGTTAGTCTTTAGTACTCATTGTGCATTTAGTTCAAGGCCTAAAATTTAGATTTCGTCAAAGAAATGCCTCACAATCTTAGACCAGTTAAAGTGTTTCTATAATAAATTATTTTGGTGTATAACTTTTGTTTAGTTTGAAACACTCCTCTACGCTGTTTGCAGTCCACACGTTTTAGCACTAGAATGTGAGCCAAAAAGGATACTGATTGCTTATGCACTCTGCTTAGGCAATGGAAATTTAAAAAGAAAAAAGAAAAAGAATGATACATTACACAGTCTCAGTTGCATAAAGCGCATGCTATTAAAACTTACAGTTTCCATCACAAATTAAAGGGAAATGAAGTTCCAAAGATGGAAATAGCCAGGTTCTTGTGGTGATAAATTACAGCTGGCTATGATGTGGAATTTTTAATGTTGCCCTTTAGTTTGATTACCTGGCGAAAGAAATGAGCTCCTAACATACAGGAAAACTAGAGCAGGTTTTTTCCTTGAGGAAATGTTGAGTTTTCATTCCTGCCAATAGGATATACATGCTAGCTGCATTGTAAATTGTAGCCAATTAGTAAGTTAAGATGATGCTATGGTAGTGGTTTTCAACCTTTTTTTTCATTTGTGGGCCCCTAAAAATTTTTGAATGGAGGTGTGGACCCCTTTGATTTGTAAGTGTGGGTATTCACATCCTCTTGATCATAGTAATCTTTCTTGGCCCCTTTAGACGTAGCACATGGACCCCCAAGGGCCCATGAACCACAGGTTAAAAACACTGGCCTATGGGAAATGGAAACCTGCAAATGCCAGACGGCTATAACCTCATTGCCTGAACAACAGAACAGAATACTTCTACTTTTCACCAGGCAAGATTATAATATCCATACAAGTAGGGTGACTGCTGCCACGCTATGAGGCATTTGCATGTCATATTTTTTGCCTGAAGCATTCTGAGTCCCAGGTGTCAAGCATAGCTGTGAAAATGTGGAGTATTCCCCCAGAGTGCATGTACATTTTGTGGGCAACTGCAACTTTAAACTGAATTGCAATTTATCAACAGATTCTAAATAAATAATCCCTATTAGGTGGCTATGTAGTCCATTTCTTATGCCTAGACTTAATTAGTTGTTAACATCACCTTAAAAGGCTCATCTTGTAGAATATGGAACATCTCCAAGACTTGGATGGGCAGAAGCACATTTTAACCTCATGCTATGCAAAGGAAATACACTGGCACGTTTCTATTAATCTGTTGCTGTGCTGTTCACTTAGTGTTTTGCATGCAGGGCTCTCTGGAGTTGCAAGCCATTCACAGGATATGAGTACCACCATCAACTTGCAGCCCTTTCTGGGCAACAAAATAGTACCCACAGCAGTAAAACCTAATCAGGGACAAGAATTGAAGGTAGGGCCTTCTCTCCCACTAGAAACAAAGGCTTCCTATGCTGAAAAGAGCTGACAATGAAGTACGTACAAAATGTAGTTGCATCAGCTACCTCTTTATACTGTACAATAGACGCAAGACATAGTGGTGGCTGAAATTTGAAATGCATCAAATACAAGCACTTACAGTACTTCATTGTAAAGTACAGTGGCCTACGAGGAAGCTCCTTTTCATTGCTGTCTCAGTCATTTCTAATTAACGGTAGCTGTCATGGTGTAGAAATCTCCGTGCTGTATTGATATCTTATTCTGAATCCTGCTGGACAAAGAAATAATTGCACAAACCAAATGCTTGAATTAACAGTGAGCTAAATTCATCAGGCAAATAGAGTTGGGGGAAGGAGTAGACCACTATGTTTGGCTCTGCCAAGGCAGTTTTATTTCTAGTCTCTTCCATTTTATTCCCTCGGTTGCTCCTTTAGTTGCTCAGGGAAAAAAAATAAATCTTATTTATGACTCAAAATCCCAGGCACAGCCCAGGGCCCCGGTGGATTCAGTGGTGTTGGGTAAAGAATTGTCCTTTGCTAAAGAGTTTTCAAGTTTATGCAATGGCTTGACTAAGTTAATTTCATGTGAATGATGACCTTTTCCAAGGACTGCTGCCTTGGAAAGTAAAGCCACAAAGCTACTTTTCACAAACTCCTATTTGATCCAGGATGTCCATCTTGAGTGTATTAAAGGGGTCTGATATTTTTTTTTTTTCTTCTTTTAAATATTTTTACTTTGAGGCCCCTTTAAGGTGTCTCAAGTTAGGTCCCAAAGTCATTAGTCACTTGGACATTTAATCCCTAGAATCCATAAAATTTTAAGGAAGTGTTATAGAGTGTTTAAGGGAAAGGAAAATGCTGGCTGCATCTCACTGTTAAGGCTACACTATGTAATATGGCACACATGAAATGTTGTATTAGTCTCAAAGTATCCTTTAGTTATATCCAGACATGGGTCAGTAGACAGGTAGCATCTGAATGTGAAGGCTTTGCATCTGATAGTCAAGGATACCATTTAGGGGAATGGTCACATTTTAAGAAGGGGAAACTGAAGTTTCTTCATCATGGGGCATCAGCCACTATTTTGCTGTCTTCTTCCTAGGAGGTTTCTTGTACCACATTATCACACTTGGGGTTTTTTTTGGTGGTGATGGGCGGGGGGAAGAGTGCAGCAACAAAATGTACAACTCTATTGTCCTTCTCTCAACTGTTACATGGAGAATATTATTTTCTTTTGAGTTGCTGTTGTCTTGTTCTATCTACTTTTTTATAAGGTGTAGTGGGAAGTGGATAGCAGGAAAAAAATGGGAAAAAATTGGCTTGGGACAGGTATTTCTGACTCTGATTCATTTTTAGTTTGAAATCTGACTTGACTTGCAAGAATTGTCTAAAAATGCTTGCCTCTTGCCTGGTCTAGATTTGAGGCAGAACAGGACATTGTATGCCATTGGCAAGGATCTCTTGTAGCTAGAAGGATCTCTTGTAGCATCTTCCCCCTTTTAGTGTCCATGAGTGGTCACTGGAGTGAAATCATAAAAAAACAAACAAAACAGATTTACCCAAAGAACCTTGTCTATCATAAAAAGGAATTTTTTACTCACAAAACAAGGCATGGCATAGCCACTGGCTTCCTCTCACTTACTGCTTCACCAGCAAGCTTCATTTTTTTTTTCCTGAAAAATCCACATCTGAGGGCAGGGGATGAGTTCATTTTCTTAACACATTCAGTTCTGCTCTTGGATATTGTTCACAGTAGATCCCTTGGGTGAGTGTTAATGTATTTTGTGCTGTGGTGACCTCTTATAGAAACTTAACTGGAAGCTCTCATTCATTTCCCTTTGGCATTCAGGTGGTAACAACTTTTTGGCAACTTAATGGTGTAGAACTCTTATTTCATTAATGACTCCCTGAATTGTCCAGTTTCTGTGAAATTCTTACACTAGCTAGATATCAGTGGAATAACTATCCCTTTTTATTGCAAGATAAGATTGTGCATAGCTGGCTGGCTTGGCTAATTAGGGTCACCTTCATCTTGGATTTAATAAATAGAAGGTAAAGTTTTAGTATTTGTGAATGTGATTGACAGGGCTAATAAGAGCATGTGCTAGCCTACTTTAATGAAGAGATCTGCTCATGATGCACAGTAACGCTGCAATTCCTCTTCCATGGCTTTCCTAATCACATGCTTCTTGTGGTGTCATATCTCAGGGTAGTTTTGGGAGGTGGTTCAGAAGTTTCCTAGTTGTTAGGATCGGAAGGGACCTCAATAGATCATGCAGTCCGACCCCCTGCCCTGGGCAGGAAAGAGCGCTGGCGTCTCTTCCAGAGTCAAAGGGTGGTGTACTAGCTTGCTGCACTGCATGGCGAATTGCTAATACGTACACACATTTATTATTTTTTCTTTTTGCGATGCCAGTCAAATTCTGATATTGGTCACCATGGACTAAAACTGGAGTTGTTCCCATTGAAGTTAATGGAGTTACTCCTGATTCTCACTGGTGGGAAATCAGAAACCTGGCCTGTAATCTTGCACTTGGTACGTACTGGATGCATCTATCCTTTACCTCTTTTATACTTCTACAATTATCTTAATTCTCCTGATTTAGCAAGCTTTGCTCTTATTTCTCACTATGCAGAGTGCTTAGTTTGCCACCCTCAAGCATGAGACCTTTCCCAAAACCAAGATGCTGAAAGAACATACTCCATTCAGATGGCCTGTTTCTATGTTGCAGATCTTGCTGGCCAAGGCACCTCCCTATCTCACAGCTTCGTTTGCACGTTATTTTGAAGTAAAACTTGAGTGTCCCCTCACTGCTGTGATGACTGTACAGAAATAAAACCTTATACGCAGGTGGCAGCTTACTTTCCGTGGTACCTTTTCTTTGTTTGGGAGCTTCCTTTCTTCCTGTCCCCTTGCGGTCCTGTCTGAGGAACGAACTCCATTCAAAATTCTAGTATCTGGAAGTTACAGCTGTGAGTTCGGAGTTGGTTTTGGCCTGATCTGTAGATGTGAAGATGTATCCAACATGAGGCAAGGAAAGAAAAAACATCGACATGTTGCCAGTGGGTAAAGCCTCTGATGGATCTTCCCTTTTTAGGGCAGATTGATATAGCACCCCTGGGAGTATTGGGATTCAGACTGACCTGCCCTTTCTGAGATCAGCGTGCATTTCCTTTAGCATCACAATATAGTTCATTGTACAGTTCAACATTGACAATTATTGAAAAGGAGCTGTACAGAGAGCAGTATTCCACCTTGAGCAGAAAAGCTTGAAGTATTCGGTGTACCAGATCCTGTTGTTCACACACAGAACGGGTTACTTCATCATCTCTTAAAACCTGGGAGGCTGTGCTCTAGTTAATTCCTTTAAAATTTAGTTTCCGAAATAGAATTTGGAATAAGTGCAGTTCTCAGAAGTGGCAAAGAAGGTGAATAACTTTACGGTGGTATAAATATAAACAGAGCAAGGCTCTAACGTTTGAGTCATAGATTTAAAAAAAAAACCCACAAAACAAAGCAACCCTGCATCTGTATTTCATCTTACATGAGTCACTCAGTTTAAAAATGCTGGCACGTTTAGTATAACTTTTTTTTTAACAGTGGCAGATATTCAACAGTATACATCTTTAGGGATCTGCAAAATGTTAATTGGGGGGGAAATGAGAATGTGAAGAAGAACAGAGAGGGTTTTTTAATAACCATGCTGTCTTACAGTTCTTAAATAGGATAATCTTTAGAAGGAATTGTTTCCCCCCCTAAATTCTGATGTTGACTTCCTAAAGACCTATAGTATCTACATTACCCTGGTGATTGCTGCCATACTATGGGGGTGACTAGTATATAAATCTACTTATCTCAATAGATTATATATAAAGAGAGATGGGTGTATATCAATTTATAGAAATAAACGCATAATCTACATTCATCAAGTTTCTTGAATGGTTTTCTACCAATAATGTTCTTGAAGCCATCATTAAATTGCCTGTTTCATTCAATGGCCATAATATTCTAACACGAAAAAACCCCAAGATTGTACCATTACTGCTATTATCAGACATTAGGTTCCTGTGAGCACCAAAATCTTTGCAAGCCACCTCACCTCTGCAAAAAGTTTTTTGATTTACAAAACCAGGGTTTGAAATGTTATAAGGGCAAGCTCCCATATGGTCAGCTGTAACTTCCATTTCCACCCATGGGCACAGGGATACCTGACAATGAAAAACACCAGCAGGGAAATCTTTTGATTTTTTTTTTTTTTTTATTTATGTATTTACTTTTTTTAAACTTCAAAATAGGTTTGAGGGTGTTGAATGTGGCAATTTCCAGATATCTGGGAATTTCTTAAACCTAATCAAAATCAGTTTCCCTGCCTCTGACTGGCTTGAAATACAGGCTGTAAGAGAGAGAGAGAGACTACTCAAGCTTGGATAAAGCAAACTTCTTAAAAACTTAATGAGAAATTTTTCAAGAGAAATAGCAGAAATACAAATCTTAATGGGGCATCAATTTTCTTGCCTGCCTAATTCATGCAATCAATGATTTAACAGAAACTGAGCATAATATAGTTTCATGAAGTGTTTAGCCAAGAAAAGGTGGTAAGTACAAGATGACAAATTAAGTATTGCTATCTTTCCTGTCTATATTTAAGGTAGGGTTGGCTGTTTGACTGGTCAGAAATGGCCAAATACAGGCGGGGAGGTGCTTCCTCCATGCTGCACTGCCTGCCCACAGAGCACCTGGCTCTGGGTGACCTGGGGCTGCGAGATGCTGGGCCCTGGGTACCAGCTGCCAGCTGCACCAGTGTGGGGAATTGCCTCGCAGTGGAGAGCCCCAAGCCCCCACAGTGCACCCCCCACACAGACCCTGCACCCCCAGCCCTTGAAAGTAGGTTGCGTTTATCGGTTAAATAGATAACTGATATAATTAGAAGAGTTTAAACAGCTAATTTTTAAAACAGTATTTTCACCCCTAGTTGTTATAATCACAGAAAGCATCCCTATAATATTTAACCAATCTTTGACCAGTCAAAAAAGATGCAGTCAGTTGACCAGTCAATTGTCAATATTTGACCGGTCGATTGGCCGGTTTGCCAACCCTCATTTAAGGCATGACCCTCTTCGTATATCTTGTCTAAGTGATGGAAATGTATGTGAAAACAGCTGGGCAGTTCTTGCTGGTTTGGCAAATAGCAACACATCGCATTAATGCCTCATTTTGTAAGTCTCAAATGTGGGATGTTTATAATTTGTATAGAATAAAGAGAGCAAAGTAGATCTGTTAGTGTTTGGTTATTCTGTCCTCTAAGGGGAAAAACTTTGGTTAGTTAAGACTCATCACTCCTTACTGTAGTGTTCAGGAAGGCCTGATTTCTATAGGATGGGCTCCCTTTTCCCAGGGAAAAGTCTTTGCAGATGTAGGTTTTGTAGCTGTAAATATTTGTGGGTGCATCTGGAGTTATTTATATGGCATCAGTAGTGCCGCATAATTCTTCACGCCCATAAAATGGCAGACTCAAAAGTGAGAATAGTCAGCCCCCAAATTAGGTGTTAAGAAAATTGCTGAAGTGATTCTTCAGAATCTAAGGACTTTGCTACCTCTTTTCCATAGAACGGTTTGAGAGTTATTAAGGTATAAAGGGAAGTTAGATACCTAGTTGTCATTAGCGTTATGGAAAAAAATGCCTTCAACTGAGAATTGTATGCTGTACACAAGGAAACCTGGTAATGGAGACTTACATGGACACGCAATACCAAATATTGATGGCTGCTCTTACAACCTTAACTCAAATAGCTGGATTGGTTACTTCTAAGACTTTGAGAATGTACTCCTGAATAGGGCAGCAGCATCTTTACTCCTCAAACTTTTAGCAAAACCAAACCAGAGGCAGGCCAAAGTTTTATACTTGGCCACTAAGCCCTGTTGTCTTCAGTAAATCTTTGGCCTGTATGGGAGATAATACACTGGTCTGATGTAGTGTAACACTTTTTGTGCACAGGTTCAACATTTCTTAGGAATACAACTCAATGAACAGCATCCTGGTTCATATCTGTCTTAAAACATCCTTTATAGTTCAAGCAGAGCACATAATTTTTATATTTCTGGAAAAGTATGTAATCTCTTAAAAGATCCATAAATCAGGAAGCAAATATTTAGAGAGATGTTTTAGAAGGCAAAGGGTCCTTGCAGATATTTCCAACTTACAAAGCTCCAGCCCCGTTCTTCTTGCACTGGCTTTACCCCACTGTGACTCCCCTAAAAGCAATGGGGTTCATTCAGTTTTGTACTCATTTAAGTGAAAAAAAAAATTGGGCTCTTTGGCCAATTGCTTCAGAAGAAAGAACAATGCAGCAGCAAGAGAATGAGGACCCGGCAGCGTGGCTCCATCATTAGCAGTGTTTCTTGCTGAACAAACCCAACTCAGACTTTTAATCCTATAGATCCTCTTCTGGGTGGGGAGTGATAACTCAGTCTGGTTTTCTTAAATCACCCTGTTGGAAAGCTCGGAGAATGGCATTTAAAACACCAAAGCATTCTGATATTTTAGAAACGGTCTTAACCTGAGACACCATCGTAAACGGTGACAGGGCATTGTAACATCCTTCAGCGTGGGCCACGAAGATGAGATGCTCCCATGCCGATGAAAGCACGACTGTTAGACTGGATGCAGGGTTTGAGAAATGGATGGAAGAGGTGCAGCGTAATAAACACATTTAGACAGTTTTATGCAATCTACTTCCTTTTGTTTTACCCGTGATCTGGACTTAACAATTGGAAGTAGTCTATCTGTTCAGCACACGTGCTCACATTTTGAATGGTTTGTGTGGCTTTAATACAGATATTAAGGATGCTAATTATTATGACCGACTGGAAATTCTCACTTTGTAGGGACTTGCATGGGCACTTCGGTCAACTAATGCAAATAGCCTAAAACTGTCTATACCTGGATTGTGTTTGGATGGGCACCTGAATTCAAATTAGATGGATGAATTGTGGGTGGGCTTGTTTGTGTGGAGAGGGTTAGGGAGTAGGCAGGAAACGTATAGACTTTTGTGAGAAGAAAACCTTTTCTTTTTTTGGAGTCTAATTCTGCTCAACGTGTTCTCTTTGGCTTTGGGTGGAAAGGAAGGAAGATTGAGGGTTTGTTCAGTGTTTTGGGGGGTTTTTTTGGTAAGTGCTCTTGTAAATTTGCAGAGACCTAGAGAAGTTTCTCTGTACCAAAAAATTAACACAGAATGTCCTTTGTAAAACTGAGAGCGCGTTTTGAGAACAGCCGTGGCTGATTGACTAGGAATTGAGGTTCTAGTGTTGGGGGTATAGGAAAAGCAAGGTGCTCACATGGGCAGCATACTCTGCCTCCCCCCTCCCCAAATACACGGGGCCCTAACCCTGTTGGGATCCCACTAACTTGAGAGCAGCTACTTTGGTGTAAGGATAGAATCAGTCCTACTTTATAAGGCTGTTGGGTCAGGGATGTAAACGGGTGAACATCCAGAACCAGCAAGTGGTGGTTTGCCATTAGAGATAACACCACAGATGGGTTTCTGTGCCTCAGGTGTTGACTTTTTGAGCATCACAGCAGTGAGAGTATTGCTCTAGATGACAGCAGTACTGGTCATAAGTCAGGTGAAAACTTTCTGGAGACCAGTTAGAGTCAAAGCAATGCATCTATTGGGAATGCGTATAGTGAAAGGCAGAAGGAGATGGTCGCCACTGCTTGAAGAAATGAGGTCTGATGCCAATGACTGAAGACATCTGGGCCAAGATAGTGGAGTCACTTGAAAATGTTGCATTTCTGTAAGGTCACTTGATGAGGGAAAGCAAACTAGGCCATGATTACATAATGGAAATACCCACCCTTGCCACCTCCACTTGTGTATGTCACTTGGCTTTTTTTCCAGGTTTGTGTGTCATTAAGACCATCACAGAAGGTGGCATACAACTAAAAATTCTTGGTTCAGGCCTCCTTATGCAGGCAGATGGGTCCCTTGGAGAGAGTAGTTGGAAGCTGGCAGAAGTAAAGCTGGAGTGTGTGGGCTTTTTAGCAAATTTTAATTCTCTGCCTCATTGTTAGCTCAGGAAAGCTTAGGGGACAGATGCCAGAGCTTCATTTCATCTTTGGAAGGAAAAATACCAGTGGATATGATCCTGTGCCATAGCATAAGATCAAGAATGTGAGTATATAGACAGAGGAATCCAGGACCAAATGGGGCCCATCCCAGATTCCTAAAGAAAGTATCCAAGCCAGATGTTTATAGTTCCTTTGGGACAGTCAGGCACTGATGGATTGGTGACAAGTAGCAGCATACATGTTTTAGGCAGGTTCAGAGATCTGAAGTCTAGTCAAATTGTAGGATGGTTGACATGACCACTCAGAGGAGGAACACGTCCAACAAATCCAATGGAGGTGTTCAAGAGTGTCACCGGGGGTGAAGTTGTGGACCTGGTCAGTCTTGAAGAAGGGTTATCGCTGTACACCAATGACACTTACACCCAGAAGCATTAGACAGTATAAGGCTGAAGAGCAGTTTTTACTGTTGAGCTAGAAGGAGGAAACGTATACAGCAAGATGTTTGTCGCCTGATCCAAAATTGACTGGACCACTCTCTTTTGAAGAGCAAAGGAATTTAAAAAAAGAGTGACTTGTTA